TCTCCCTATTTATGTCATTGTATTGTGGTTTTTTCTGTCTTAAATTACAATTTACTAAAATATCCAGTTTTGTTGTCATTTTTCCTCCTCATTTGCCTTTTCCAGGACCAATACATGAGGGAGCTTGTTGGAATTAGTGAAGAATGTGGAGGCCTCTATCATCTCAAGCATTTTTCTCCAGTTGTACTTCAAATCAGCTCCAACCCCATTAACACTCCTGATTTATAGCTTCTCCGCTTAGGTCATCCTTGAAGTTATTGTATTTCGAAATCTTCGTATACCTTGACTAGTGTAGATTTGAAATTGATATGGAGCATGACTTCGGCCTACGTATCCGAGACAGACATACACACCTTTCTTTTAAATTGATTGAGAATAAAAATACTTTTATATTTATTATATTTATTGCAATATTTGGGACAGATATTTTACGCACTCTACAATCAATGCACATTATTTTCTTACAATTGTTGATGATTTCTCATGTTTTACTTGGGTGTATTTCATGCATTTTAAATATGATTTTCCATGTCTCTCTACCTTTATTAAAATGGCACACACACAAAATTTTATTGTTATATTAAATATGTTTAGTTTAATAATGGTCAAGAATATCTTTCTCATCGCATGGAAAAAGAATTTCTTGATCATGGCATCCTTCATGAGTGCACTTGTATAGAGACACCACATCCACATGGTGTAGCCGAACAAAAGCATCGTAATCTTTTAAATGTGGCTCCGTGCCTTTGTTTTCATGCACATTTACATATTTCCTTCTGGGGTAAAGACATACTTACTGCTACTTATTTAATTAATATGCACACCATTATCCTTCCTCAATTATAAACTCCTTATGACCTTTTCAAAATATTCCCTACTTATGCGACATACTTACTGCTGTTTATTTAATTAATCGGACACCATTATCCTTCCTCAATTATAAAACTCCTTATGACCTTCTTTTCAAAAAATTCCCTACTTATGCACTTTTGTGTTGTTGGATGTCTTTGCTATACATACACTTTAAATGTTCATTGAGACAAATTGTCCCCTCGTGCTACATCATGCATATTCCTAGCCTATTCTCAAACCCTACACAATTACCATATTTACAACTTACGAACAAAATTATTTATTTTATCTCACGATGTGCTTTTTGTGGTATCTATTTTTCTCTTTGCTATTGCCACAACACCCTTGATCCCTCACCACTACCTACCCGGCCAAATAACCCATATTTCCTAGATATGCCGCATCATATCTCAAATTTACCCCATGATATAGATCACACTTCTTAGTCATTTTCCCCAGCATCATCCTCACTAGAAATTACACCACACGTACCATCACCACCAGATGATGACCTTCATGCCAATTCTCTAGAAAATGTCACATCCCCTTCCCTACTATCTAGACCTAATCACATTATCACTTGTCTCACATATCTTCGAGATTATATTTGCTCAAACCTACTTTGAGAGGTCCCACATTCGTCACCTTATTCCTGCCTTTTTCAGGTATGGTTCATTCTTTACTGAATTTTCTCTCTTATCATTTTTTTAGTCCTAAACACTTTGCTTCTATCTCATCTATCTCCAAAAATGTTCAAGATTCTATTATCTACTCTCAAGCTATCCTTGAACCTCATTGGCAAAAGATGATGTCTTTCGTAATTCAATCATATAGGCTAATCATACATGGGCTCTTGAGACTTTTTGTCCTAGTAAAAAGGCTATTGATTGAAAATATATCTACAAAAAATAAAAATAAAATTGCTTGTAGATGGTTCCATTGAATGCCATAAAGCTCATTTAGTTTCTATGGCACTCAGGTAAACGACCTTGATTATCATGACACTTTTCATATTGTAGCTAAACTGTTTACCGTTCATTGTTCTCTTGCTATATCTGCGGTCAAAGATTATATTATTCAACAATTGAACGTTCGCAATGCTTTTATCAATTATGACCTTGATGAAAAGTATACATGTAACTCCCACCAAGATATTATAGTTAGGGAAAGACACTCATATGTCATCTCCACGAGTCTTTATATGGCCTCGAACATGCCTCTCGCCAATGGTACTTGAAATTATCTCATGTCCTCACTCTTGCAAGTTTTGTCCAATCCTCGGTTGAGTATAGTTTCTCATCGAAACAGGGCAAGGTATCTATAGTCGTCCTTATCTATGTTGATGACATTTTGGTTGCTAGGGAATCACCTGTGTGCCTCAATTCAATTAAATAACGCATTGCAAAGACCTTCAAGATTAAAGACCATGGTGACCTCACATATTTTCTAGGGATTGAGGTTGCTTGATCTCTTGTCAGCATATTTATCGGTCAAAGAAAATATGCTTTGGCCTTTCTCTCTAATTTTGATCAATTAGGCTCCCATCCTACATACTTTTCCATGGAACAACACTGCAAACTTAATGACTTAGATGGTGACTTTCTAGAAGATCCCAACTCATATCGATGATTAGTTGGGCTTTTGATCTATTTGACAATTTCTCGATCTGATATAAACTTTGGTATCAATGTTTTGAGTCAATTCATGCATGCTCCCTTGAGCCTCATCATCTTGCTGCTCTCCGTGTTCTCTGTTATTTGAAGACCACTCCTGGTTATGTTCTTTTTTTTCTCATCTACATGCATTTTTCAAACATCTACCTTTTGTGGTTCTGATTAGGCCAGTTGTCCAATTATATGATGTTTCACTACTAGCTTCATCATCAAATTAGATGATAGACAGATTTCTTGGCGCACAAAAAATCAATCTATTGTCTCCCGCTCTTTTGCTGAGGCTGAATATCATGCGATTTTCACTACTGTTTGTGAACTTGTTTGGCTCAGCCTTCTCTTGAATGATCTTATGGTTTCCCATCCTTAGCCTATGCTTTTTCAGTGTGACAATTAGCCAACCATTCACATTGCTCATAATCCGATTTTTTCGGTGAGAAAATTCATTGTGGTCTACTTACTCCTTCTTATGTCCCACTCCTTCTTATGTCCCAAGCTTTCAATAACAACCTGATATTTTTACTAAATCCTTAGAATGTGAATTGTTTGTCTTTTTTATCCAAGTTGGGCATTACGGACTTCTATATATGCTCAACTTGAAGGGAAGTATTACGAGTCACAGGCTTAAACTCCTACACAAGATTAGAACAAACCATGTTCACTACACAAATCAAGAGAACTTTCTTCATATATAGTTTAATTTCCTTACATGCTTTACTTACCATGTCTAGCTCAAAATTTCTATCTACAAATATGTACACAATCTTTATAAATCAAAATTTTTATCTACTAATAATGAAATACAACATTTTCCTGTGCATTTCTCTGTATCAAGTCTTGAAGAAAATTACATCGCTCACATACCTCAACTCTTGTCAGAAAGATGGAATCACTAGCAAGAGAACTCAGTTTATGTAGTTTATGTACAGCAACTTAGTCAAAGGACTCTACATGGTAGATAACTTTCATTAATTTCCATGTATAAATACAGTCATTAAATCATTAATATTGGGTGTAGATCATAATAACTTGCAAAATTTTTATGCTTTGCACTTGACGTTAGATTAGAGTTACATGTCCATGTTTAATAAACGTTTTAGCATCTAGCATGTTGCGGAAATACCTTATGAGAAGAATATCTTGTGATTAAATCATTTAGCTTGTCAATGTAGTTTCTTTCAATTTTTTCTACTCGAGTTTTCAAATCGGTATATATGTTGGTGCCTTATGCAGAAGTTGAAGCTTCGTGTTATAAAAAAGGATACCGATCCTGAATTAAATGAGGATTTGACACTTTTAGTTGGACCAATTCCGATTAAAATTTAACAACTATTGTGGAATGAGTTTTATATATGGAAAAAAAAAATGGTGAACCATTAACAACAACGGGCAATGAACGTTGCAAAAAACTAATTGCAACATTTTTTGAATGTTATCGCATCATTTTACTTTATGGCAAAATTGAAGTCCACAAACTACGTCCTAACAATGTGAAAGGTTTTTTGTAGCTTTTTTGTCCATTGCAAGAGCTTGTTTTTGTTGTAGTACACGATCTAAGTTTTGATCCGAGGATCCTAATTACTGAAGATTAAAATGGATCATTAAGCAACAACTTGTATTGTTGTTACATTGGGTCGGATCAACTGATCAATGTTGGGACCTTATAAAATCTTCAATTTTGGGTCAAATTCCATGAAGTCCAACTAAAATACATCATTGTCCCAAGGTTGTTTCAAAAAAAAAAAAAAAAAAAGGGAACTCGAATCATTCACAGTTTTTAAGTCTTCTAATAAATTTTCCAAGTCCGATGTGGATTTACATCATTATGGATTGGATTAGTCTTTCTGGTGGGTATCCTTGATTCTCTCATCTCTTGAACCTATTCGTCCAAATCATTTTTTCTCGAGCCGTGCGAGGAGAAAACTTCCTATACGTTTCTAGGGGGGGTATTGTTCATCTACATCTATCCCAATGAGCCATCTATCGAATAACACACACACACACCTACAGCACTGATGATGAATTTTGCAAAATGTTATAATGACATGAAGTTGTGAACAAGGAAACAACAATGAGCAAATCTCGTATAAATTTATTCCAACAAGTGATTTATGAAAAATGTGCAGTTATGCAGATATTTGATGAAAAATGAATCTGACCTTCCAATAAATATTTGTGATAAAATTCAAATAAATAAATAAATGTTACTCGCTATATAGCAGCTGAACATTTAAAATGAAGTTTAATGTTATTCTCATCTAATTAAATCTTGTTCTTTTCTGTTTCATCTAATTACATCTTAATGTAAATTTCATTTATAACTTTCATTGCGATAAGTAAATTAGTAAGAAAGAGAAACTTAGTAATTCCAAAATTGCTAAACTTCAGATGATGAGCACTTGAAAACATTCAATTACGATGACAACAATCGATGTAAGATCAGGAACGCCATGAACGAGGATTTGTATATATAATTGATTGATCATTAAATATCTCCATTTCTTTTCTTTATTTATCTTCATCCATTAATAATGCTTCAAATATTGTCTAAGAATAATGCTATTTATCATCATAATAATAGAACATCGGTGATGTGACAATCTATTATTCCTCACATTTCTCTCTAGAGACCATGTCTCCTCCCCCTCTCTCTTATAAAAATTGAACTGTCAAATCCCATTATTTCACGTTGACTGTTACATCACCGATGTTTCTTATTGGGAATACTTTTCACCGGCTATGGCGTATGCTGAAAGATGGAACCAAGAGTTCGTACAATTTCTTTCAGAGTCTGTCCAGAGTCTTTCTCTAGCTGCAGGATATAAATTAATTAATGATCTGCAGAAATATCATAGTGCCAAAATCATCTGAAAGATTTATTACCTGTGCGGTAATGGAAATGTCAAGGGCAAAATTTCCAAATGGAGTGACATTAGTATAGTCTATAGTGAGATTGAGCTTCTCTATTTCACCTATTATTCTGAGCAGGTACCCTTTGTGCTTCTTAATGTGGATCCTCAGATGAATGAGGTTTTCGCACACTTCAGCTTCTATTTCTGGCAATATCTGCTCGTCGAAGCTGTTCTTCTCATATATAGATCCCTCATTGTCAACTAAAATCTCAGATCTCTTGATGGGAATCACGGATTCTACGGTTTGTTTTGTTACTTGATCCTCGAGACTGTTCACTCTATCTTGAAGGTTTTTCAGATACTTGATAGCATCTCCAAGTATAGAGGTTCTGTCCATCTGCAATACCAATAACGAAGAGCAATACTTGGAAACCATGCCATGATTGATAACTCTATTCAAAAAATATTGCCTATGTTATTTTATAGACTAACTAAAAATTTATCTTTTTTCATTATATGAGCGCAGGTGATAAAGACAGAAATAATTTATTTTAACCAGCTGCAATTAATAAAACGGATCAATAATTATCAAATAATGGTCGCTGACTGGTAGTCATTTTACATGAAAGTTTATTATTTGAGGCATTAATTTCGTGTAATTTTATTGCCTCAAATAACAAACTGTCACATGGGACGACTATGAGTTGCATTATACGAGATATTAATGAAAAACTCTGTACCTTCTTGAGGCCAGGAACTATTGTTGAAAGAGCAACAAATAACTGGCTGAGCTGCTCACGCCGCTTTCTTTCTGCAATTATGTGATCATATGTCTGAGATGGCGGCCTAACACGACTGGTTTTCTTAGTTGTTCGTGCGGTTTTTCTAGCCTCGAGAGAATTTCTAAAAGTTTCAGTAACTGCTTGCTTTTCTTCTTGATTCGAGGACCTTAGGTTCACTTGCTGAGGACTTTGAGGTGAATTCACATTGCTAAAATTCAGAATAATTGGAGTGGAAGAAGTGGAGTGAAAAGTAGGCATCCGCAAGTGGTGATCGTTAGGCTTTTTCTGTTTGGATGGTGGTTCAATGGCCATTTGTTTAGGTTCGGGGTACGAGGAAGGGCACAAATCAGTGGTCGGGCTGCTTCTGGAAATAACAGATGAAGAAGATGGATTACTTTCTGGGTACAAAATGTTGGGAGTCTCTTCTCCAAGAAAAGCAGCCAAATCTTCATCAAACTCGTCCACGAACTCGTATCGATCCTCGAAACTTGAATTTTCCAGTCCCTGAAAATTTAATCTGACAATCTGCCAAATTGCAAAAATCCCTGTACATGTAGCATGATTGTTGAAATTATTTCTCTTTCTTATTGTTAGGCAATTTGTTGTCAAACGACTTCCCGGGCTATGATGTAACCTCGGTTTTATCTATTATCAATTGACATTGGCCATATGATTGATTTATATGTCGACACTATTACCGAAACAACCCAACCCACATTCCTATGGACCGTTAGAAGCAACCTATTTTTAATAGTGTTGCTCATGGTTCGTCCCACTTTCTTGGAGGGTTATGGTATTAATTTGGAGCCCATTATTTTGAGTTAAGCCTTGTTTGGTCCACTAAATTAACCTAACCTAACCTAACTTACCATGTTTGGTCACTCATTTGGCTTATATTCTCGGTCTCTCTTCGCCTTCACTATGAAGAATAATCCATCTCTCTCTGTGACTTTGATTCTCGACTTCTCCTCTTCATATAACCTTTGTGGTTTTTTGTGGGCAACCTATTGTTCTTCATTTTGGCCAACTCTTTGTGAGTATATTGTAGCAATCGGAGGTAGGAACAAAGGTGATGGTTTTGGGTGGTGTCGACATATTGTGGAAACTGAGCCCGGTTTACCTTGATTATTGCTGGAATTGGACCCTACAACTAGTATCAAAACTGCCAGTCATCTCCTCCAGCCAGAAATCCACCAAAACGGCGGCAGGTCTCGTGATTTCTCAAAGGGATCGAATCTACAATTGTCAATTCCGACCAAACGCGACTTCTGTTAGACAAACGGAGGTTGGACCCATAACCAGCAGGTGGAGGCGCCTCCGGTGGTGAGCCGCGTGGGACGGCGACGGGCGGTGGGGCATGGCGGTCCAGCGACGGCGCGTGGAGGACTTCCTGCGTAGTTTTTTCGTGCCATTTCACTCATTTTGATTTCCTGAACGTACTAATGTGTTTGGTTTAGTGTTTCAGGTTGTGCAGAAAAGATTGGACGAATTTGCCCCTACCTTCAATCTGCATTTGTTGCTAATCAGAATTGCTATATTTGCTGAATCTTTAGGGCGAATAGTGGTAGCCCTAAAGCAGCAAATTTGCATCTCTCCACGTTACGGACTCAGATAGGTCCGCTCTGGTAAATTAGCTGAAACCTTTATATTTCTGCACTAGCAGATCATCGTGTGGGGTGATCATTAGGTTTGGGGGTGCAACCATTGCTTGTGCTAGAATTAGGGTTACGTGCTCTTGATTGTTTTGATTGAGTATTTGTTTTTGGGTTAAAATCAGTTTGTAATTCTTAGTGATCTAATTACTATGAAACTAGTTATCTGCTAGACGTATCATTTGTTGCATTGTTACTTCCACTGCTTACTTATTCCGTTAGAAATATTGTAACCTTACCCGTTCGAACATTCCTTTGATCTAAAACCGCGAGTCTTACCGTAACCTTACCCGTTCGAACATTCCTTTGATCTAAGACCGTGAGTCTTACGAAACCCTGGGAATCTAGAACGATGTATACTATCTGTGACCCTATGACTACTTTGTGTGGTTTGATTGTAGTTTGTGCATTCTTTGACTGTTGTGTAAAGATGACAACTCACAACTTTAATTTGGGAATTTTCAATGGAAAGGGTAACTTTGCTATTTGGCAACAAAAAATGAAGGGCATTTTAGTCCAACAAAAAGTTTAAAAGGCCATTGAAGGCAATTTTTCAACTAATTTTTCACAAGAACAAAGAGAAGAAGCCGATGAGCTTGCTTATACCTCAATCATTTTACACTTGTCTGACGCCGTTTTAAGAAATGTGGGTAAAATGAAAACCACTAAAGAACTTTGGAAAAAATTAAAAGATTTATATTTGCTTAAGTTTAAACCGAATAAACTTTACTTGCTCGAACGTTTTTTCAGTTTTAAAATGGATCCTTCAAAGGATCTTGATAACAATTTAGACGTGTTTAATAAATTGGTGCAAGATACAGTTAATTGTAATGAGACTGTGTCCGAAACTTATAATGCTATAATTTTGCTCAATGCAATTCCTGATTCCTACAAGGAAGTTAAGAACGACATTAAGTATGGTAGAGACACATTAACACCTGAAATTGTCATAGATTCCCTCAGAAGTAAAGAAATGGAAATTAGAGCTGAAAAATACGATAAGAGGAACGGTGAGGTACATATGATGCGGGGTAGAGCTCAATTTAGGCAAAATAGTCATGATAGATATCAAACTAGTGGCGAGTCAAGTGGTAATGGATGGAAAAAGAAGAGCAAAGGTAGGTCTAGATCAAAATCTACAACTAAGGCGAGAAAATGCTATGGTTATGAAAACGCAGGGCATTTTATAAAGGATTGTCATGAGGAGAAGGGTAAGCTAAAGGTTAAGGAGAGAGATGAGGTCAATGTGTTAGCATCTACTTTCAATATAAATGGTGGTGAGGTCTATATGATTACAAGTCTCGTTGCATACACTGTTGAATTAAATCTAACTGCTAATTCCCGCATGCATGAGTGGATACTTGACTCTGGTGCATCTTTTCATGTACGCCTGAAAAGAATTGGTTTTATAAGTTGCATGAATCTAATGTTGTGCTGTGTGATAACTTTGCCTATACTATTGCTGGAATTGGTGACATAAACATAAAATTTGACACAGGTTTTGTGTATATACGTTAAAGGATGTTAGATATATTCCTGAGTTGTCTAGGAATCTGATTTCAGTAGGGAGACTTGAAAAGGATGACTTTACAGGTAAAATTGAAAATGGTATGCTAAAAATGATCAAGGGTGCTTTAATTTCCATTAAGGGAATTAAGAAAAACGATATATATATTACTACTGGGCAAGTGATCAAAGGTGTGAACCCCTCTATCTCTTCTGCCAAGATTGATCACACACACATATGGCATAATAGACTTGCTCACGTAAGCATCAAGGGATTTAAGCTACTTAACGAAAAAGGTGATTTTGGTAATGACTGTGTGTCAGATTTGTCATTTTGTGATCATTGTGTGCTTGGTAAGCAGCATAAAACTTTTTTCTCCACGAGTGTTAATAGAGCTAAAGGCATGTTCGAATATGTGCACTCTGATCTGTGGGGTCCTACTAGTAATCCCATATCGGGTGGGAATAGGTATTTCTTATCTATTATCGATGACTACACTAGGAAAGTGTGTGTCTATCTTTTGAAGGATAAATCTGAGACCTTTAATAGTTTTAACAATTGGAAGAGACAAGTGAAAAACCAAACTGGCAAGAAAATCAAATTTTTAAGGACAGATAACGACTTAGAATTCTGCAATAAGGAATTTGATAGTATGTGTAAAGAAAGCGGCATAACTAGACATAAGACCGTTCCTTACACTCCTCAACAAAATAGGGAAGCGGAAATGATGAATATGACCATACTTGATAAAGTACGTTGCATGATGATAAGTTCTGGTGTTCCCAAGTCATTTTGGGGTGAGACTGTTATGACTGCTTGTTATTTGATTAACCTGACTCCTTCTGCTGCATTGAATGATGACACTCTACATGAGAGATGGTCGGGTAAACTGAGTGATTAATCGATGCTTAGAACTTTCGGCTGTACAACTTTTTCTCATCAAAGTGAGAGTAAGCTGGAACCTAAAGCTAGGAAGTGTGTCTTTCTAGGATACCCCGAAGGTGTTAAGGGTTATAGGTTATGAGATAGAAGTCAAAAAGGGGTTAACATCATCATAAGTAGGGATGTCAAATGGGCCGAGCAGCTCGTTGGCTCGGCCGCTCGGCTCATTAAAACTCGGCTCGTGGGTGGCTCTGGCTTGTCATTTGATGAGCCCGAGCTCGAGCCGAGCAGGGGGCTCGATCCCACGAGCCAAGCCTGCTTGGCTCATCGAGCCCACAAGCGGCTCGTAGGCCTTGTGCCCACGAGCCGTTTTGATGAGCCCACGAGCCGAGCTTGTCGGCTCGTCCAAAAAATTGAAATTTTTTAAAAAAATGTGTAAAAGATGTGCAAAATTTTTTTTTTAAAAACACAAGCTCGCGAGCGGCTCGTGGGCTCGGCTCGGCTCGGTTTGGCCTGGCCCACGAGCTCGTGAGCTCACAAGCTCGTGGGCCGAGCCGAGCTTGCCCACGAGCAACGAGCCACGAGCTCAGCTCTCCACGAGCCCGAGCTCGTGGATTAAAGGGCCGAGCCGGCTCGGCTCAGTCCATTGCCATCCCTAATCATAAGTAGGGATGTCACGTTTAACGAGAATGAGATGCCATGTATTAAAGGGGAAACTGAACCTAAGAGTGAAGCTGAACCAGGTGAAGAGAGAGACCAGTTTAAGGTGGAATTAGGAAAGCTCAGTACACCTGCCCCTACTGTTTCTAATGAGGTGGAGACTCAAACTTAGGAACTCGAGGTGGAGAATAATAACGAAATAGTGATAGAAGAGCACTATGAGGAAGAAAATCCTTTAGCTAACTACAACTTAGTTAGGGATAGAGAGAAGAGACAAACGAGAGAACCTAGAAGGTTCGGTTTTGAATCTGAATTAGCTTTCGCTCAGGCTAGTTATGAAGAACTAGCTGATAAAGAGCCAAAAACCTTTGAAGAGGCAATAGGCAGTGATCAATCTAATGAATGGCTTAAGATAATGAAAGAAGAGATGAGTTCTCTAGAAAAGAATCATACTTGGGAGCTAGTACCTAGGCCTAAGAACAAATCGATTGTTGATTGCAAATGGGTCTTTAAAATTAAGGAAGGTACTAATAGCTCGGAACCCCTAAGGTTTAAAGCTAGGTTAGTAGTTAAAGGCTACACACAGAAGGAGGGCGTTGATTATAATAAGATTTTCTCACCAGTTGTTAAGTACACCACTATTAGGGTCATGCTCGCATTGGTTGCACACTTTGACTGGGAACTTGAACAACTTGATGTAAAAACTGCTTTTTTACATGGTGAGCTTGATGAACAAATCTTCATGAATCAACCAAAAGGTTTTAAGAATAAGTCAAAACCTAATTATGTGTGTTTTCTAAGAAGATCCTTGTATGGGTTAAAACAATCTCCTAGACAGTGGTACAAGAGGTTTGATTCTTTTGTACTCACTATAAGGCTCGAAAAAAGTAAATTTGATCACTGCTTGTACTTTCAACGTAAGACTTATGATAATTATCTGTTTTTGTTATTCTATGTGGACGATATACTTTTGATTAGATCATCCTCTAAGTGGATAAATAATATAAAAACAAAACTAAGTAGTGAATTTAACATGAAAGACTTAGATAAGGCTAAAAGAATCCTAGGTATAGAAATAGAAAGAGATAGGTCAAATTCCGTTTTGTTTTTGCATCAGTCTCCATACATATCCAAAGTATTGAAAAAATTTAATATGAGTGATTACAAACCTATCACGTTGCCTCTTGCTAATCATTTTGTTTTATCAAAGGAACAATCTCCTTGCAATGAGCGTGAAGTAGAATACATGAGTAGAGTGCCTTACTCTAATGTGATTGGCTCCATAATGTATTTGATGGTTTGCACTAGATCGAATTTAGGTTTTGCTGTTAGTACTCTCAGCAAATACATGGCTAATCCAGGCCCTGAACATTGGGAAGCGCTAAAGTGGCTATTAAAGTACTTGAAGGGTACAAGTGACGTTGGTTTAAAGTTTAACGCTAATAAAGATGGTATAAAATTAAATGGTTTTGTAAATACTGATTACGCGGGAGATATGGATGGTAGGAAATTCACATCGTCTTACGTGTTTACCTTATCTAATTCGTGTGTTAGTTGGAAATCACAGTTACAACATATTATTGCACTATCCACTACTGAATCAGAATATATTGCTACCACTGAAACTATTAAAGAAGCTCTATGGCTTAGATGCATTCTTCGTGAACTATATGTCTTAAATGATTATGTGGTAGTGTATTCTGATAGTCAGTCATCTATACATTTGTGCAAGAACCCCGTTTTTCACGAGCGCACTAAACACATTGATGTTAGACTCCACTTCATTAGAGATACAGTATCTTAAGAGATGGTAAGACTTGAAAAAGTCCACACCCACTACAACCCTTCTGATATGGGGACGAAGGTAATGCCACTGACAAAGTTTAGAAGTTGCAAGGAACTTCTAAACATTGGTACAGGTAAATGATTTTCAATTTTATTGTTTTTCTATTAGAGGTGTCACTAATGGGAGACATCTTCTTTTGAAGGTCCTTTGACACCAAGGTGGAGGTTATTAGGCAATTTGTTGTCAAATGACTCCCCGAATTATGATGTAACCTCGGCTTTATCTATTATCAATTGGCCTTGGCCATATGATTGATTTATATGTCGGCATTATTATCGAGACAACCCAACCCATATTCCTATGGACCGTTAGAAGTAACCTATTTTTAATAGTGTTACTTATGATTCGTCCCACTTTTTTGGAGGGCTATGGTATTAATTTGGAGCCAATTATTTTGAGTTGAGCCTTGTTTGGTCCACTAAATTAACCTAACCTAACTTACCATGTTTGGTCACTCATTTGGCTTATATTCTCAGCCTCTCTTCGCCTCCACTATGAAGAATAATCCATCTCTCTGTGACTTTGATTCTCGGCTTCTCCTCTTCATATAACCTTTGTGGTTTCTTCATCTTGGCCAACTCTTTGTGAGTATATTGTAGCAACCGGAGGTGAGAACAAAGGTGGTGGTTTTGGGTGTTGTCTCAACCGGCGGTGTTGTCGACATATTGTGGAAACTAAGTCCGGTTTACTTGATTATTGCTGGAATTTGACCCTACACTTATGCTAACTCATATGTTGGAATTTTAACCACGTATTAATCCTGGATGTTCTTATATTTGTCACCATGCATTACATATTTTTTGCTTAAATCTCCTCTGTTCATATTGAATGCTTACAAATTTGACACAATATCGAGTATATTTCGTGTTATCTGTCGAATGTCCATTCTTATTAAAATATTATAAGCTTTTTGCTTGCGGTGGGGAAGAAAGGTACGTATAATTAATGACAAGAAACAATTTTGCTTAGAGTAATGCACTGGTAATAATTATAAATTTATTGAATGAAATTGCAATGAAATTATTCATTCGACAATATGGTAACCTGATAAAATCATTATTTTTTCATTTCTTTAACACGGCATGGAATCTCAAAGAATGGACTAGTTCAATGTTCCAAATATATATATATATATATGAGGTAAAGTTTCATACCAGTTCGGAGGACCACGACGCCGTTGTGAACTCCATTGAATTAGCTTGTTTATTCTAAATATCTGCACCAAGACGTACAAAAATAAACTCTAAATTAATTATTTCCAACTGAAAAGCTTCGTGCAGGCTCAATGGACTCGCGATAAGAAGCTACAAGACACAAAAATGATCTTATATGCATAAAGATTTCTCTCTGTTTCTTTTTTCCTTGTTTGAAATATTTTTGATGCTGATGAAGAAGACCCTGTCGTAATTTTTTTTTTTTTTATTTTAAGGGACAAAAAGAGAAAGAGAGAGAGACAGACAGACAGACAGACAGAGACAGAGATTTGACGCTCACAGCTCACCTTCCTCGAGTCCTCAATATTCTTACAAGCTTTTACTCTTTATATATTTCACAAGAATCGTCTTGACATGTACAAATAAGTAGATGCTTCTCTTTAACATTTCTCATGGTAATTTGAGGATGCTTTGTAATCTCAAGTCGGGCGTTGCTACAAACCTTGATCGAACCCCACCAATAGGTGGGGGTCCCTTTTTTTGCGTGGGACCCACCCCCATGGGTGGGGTTCCGTCAGACAGCCCCTGTTTTTCTAGCAAAATTCATCTCAATTGGTAGTTATATTTAAATTAAATTTAGACACCTTTGTTCACCTATACTCACATGGAAGTGGGGCTCATGTGGGAACCATGAGAATAAAAATGGCCAAAAAAAATCCTTCCTCTCCTATTGTGAGTATGTTGTCAGGGAGGGTAGGATGTGAAACCCTCCCTAGCAGTATAGCAGAATTGTTTATATTTTGGCGTGTATTGGGGATGGGATATGTGAGAGTCTAAGAGTCCGTTTGATGAGCTTCTCTTTTTGCTTTCATGAAGAAGAGTTTTATAGAAAAGCTACTTTAAGTCAAAATCCTGTAAAAACTCTTCTCGCATGAAAAAGTACTTTCTAGAAAATTATCAATACATGTTCCAAAATGGTTTCTAATTAATATCAGAATCAACTTTTGACTTTTCAAAAATCCTGTCATAGACCGTAAGAGTAATTGTAACAAATTTGACGTAGTGGATAAATAAATCAATGCTTTTTATAATTGATTTAGAGTTTTTTAAGGTAAATTCTTGTGCTCTTGTTATAATTATTATTTCTTTATTTTTGTTTATATGCTCTCATCAATATTTTCTAAACTTCTAGAAAGAAAGTTTGAATATTGGTAGTAATCCCCAAAATATAGATGATATATATAGTTGAAAAAAAAAATTATATACATAAATTCTGTAAAAAGTTGAATTGAGACTAAGACATCTTAAATTATATATATGCAAGTTTTGAAAAATGCATGAAAATGACTTGATATTGGTCCTAAAATTTGTGGGCAAGAGAGTTGTCGAATAGTACGAGCGTCATTTGATAGTTAAGGACCCAAAAGACATGTGATTGAACTGAATTGCCATATGAATATGGAGTGAAGGACCCATATTAAGACATGGATACGTACATTTGTCTCCTTTATAGCTGATTGATGCAATTCACCCTATTTCTATGAAACTGGAAAACTTTAATTTTTTTTTTTCTCTCTTAATTTTGGTTCTTTGCATCCCATAATTTTTTTACAGAGAATTTTGATCAAAATATCATAAAGTTTAGATTATAAATTAAATTTTTTCGCAGTGAAGCAACGCTAAGGTCCAATAGAGGCAGTGGCTCCCAACGGATAGTACGTAGTATTTACATAAAAATCATTTTTCTCGTTATGTTGTCAAACGGTTAATTCAATGTTCATAGCATTTTTTGTTTACAATCGAACAGTCAGTGGCTCTTATGTAACAACTCTTGTTAAAAAGTTTTCCTTGTAAAAGTTCAATGGATAAATGCTCTATTTTCATAGTTGGACACTTAAAGGAAGCTGTTGACCTCCGAAAGTGAGACCAATAGATGTCAGGCTCACTCGCATCCATGAGGGCAAATTTCGGTGCATTTAGATCGTTGATTTGATCAGATGGTGAAATGGACCGTAAGAGATGTTCATCGACGCGAGACTAAGCAGTTCAGAGGCCGACGAAGTGACCGGAAAGCTTTCATGCGAGCAATAATAATCTTACCCAAACATTATTACAACTTTTGCAAGTAAATGATAAAAGAAAGCAAGATAGGAACACAATCAAATGGCAAGAGACATATGGAGTTGTATTTATTTTCCTCTCCAAAAAATGTGCCAAAAATTTATGTACTCGTTACTTATTCTTCTTCTCGGGTTCTCTCTCTTTCTTATATATATGTGTTGTTTCTTTTTTCTATCTCCCTCCCTTTTTTTCTTGAGGAGGTTATATATAGAGTTTGGGAAAGACGTGGTAGCCGTTCTATCCAAACCACGTGCCCCTACACCCTTCTTTTATACATTACATCATTCTTACACATGCCTTTATTATATTGACAAAAAATCCAACTGCCCTATATTTCTAGGCTGATAATTCTGACATAAGACAAAATAGACGTCTAATCAATTTTTCATAAAGATATTCGTCGGGTTAGCTAACGTGACAACCTCTTCACCTCTTCGAGATTTCAACGTAGGCCCTTCATTTGGGCTTCAATACCCATCTAGTTAAATGGTACCTCGGCTAGAACAAGGACTTCGGCTCCATCTTTTAGGGCCCTGACTGGTTGTGAACATGAAGACTTCGGCACAAACTCTTCGTTAGGGCTTCGGTACCCATCTGGTTAAATGGTACCTCGACTAGAACAAGGACTTCGGCTTCTGGAGCCACTATGTAATTTTATTGCTTCATCTCTTCATATGTTTTGGGCTGATCCATCTGATGACGTTAGTGAATTTTCCATGTGTCACTTTCTACCGGCCAATTTAATACAAGGAGTAACAGAAGCTTCCCTCAAATGACTTTCTCAAGAAATTCTTCTATGAGAAGCGAAAACTTCCAAACGGTCCTTTATTTGGTGATTAAATGGAGGTAGAAATATGGAAAGTGCGGTTGGTGGTTGGTTGATTGTGTATGTGTATGCAGTGGCGGATCTAGGTGGTGGCCAGCTAGGGCAAATGCCCTAGCTGGATCCACTAGGAGAATTTTTTTTTGTTAACAATAGGTTAAAATTTTACCTTATATTTCTGGTAATACATTTTTATTTTCAAACATCAGTTGTAGCTGAGTTGGTGACAGCCAATTGAAACATGCTTGAGGTCTCGGGTTCAAGTCCTCTATGAATGGATTCGTTATGTTTTATTTTGTTTCTATAGTTTTTAGAAAAATTCAATAGTGAAAGGAATAATGAGGATTTGAACCAGGGATCTCAAGCAAGAATTGTTGCAAACTCAACCATTATGATACCCCTTAAATTGTGTCATTAGATTTAATAAAATAATATCTGTTATGTTTTAACTATTTTAATGCAAACAATTTTAAAGATTTGAATTCGTACTCTTCCTTCGTATTATACACAACTTGGCAATAATGTCATTTGATGAATTCTATTGATTCTTATAACATAATTATATATGTTCAATTTGAACAAAATAATTGTTATATTTATATTTTATACCTTATTCGATTCCCATTTTTTTTAAAATACGTTTTTTCTTTATTCTTTTCATCCATAGGTTATTAAATAAAATAATATTACACGTAAATTCAAAAAAAAACTTTTCTTTATTTTTGGTCACACATTCTCCATCAAATCACTAATCCAAAATGCTTTTTTTGCAAAATTAAAAATGGGTATCAAAAGAATTCTTAATATTTTATTGTGGCCAACAGTAAATGATCAACGGTCGCTCGTGCTGACTCAAACTCCCTGTGTATATGTTAGAGTGATTGGGGATTAAGGTTTGGTTTGGTTTCAGAAACACGGTTTATTTAGTAACATAAAAGTTGTTGACCTCACAATTCAGTAAGAGCACATGGCCATCAAATTTCGATTCCACTCCCATCCATGTGTTAAGTTTATGCACATTTGAACAAACATTAGGTGTATTGACGTTCTCTAGCGGTAGAGGAGGAGGCTGCGGGCACTCTAATACTCAAGTCAATCAACCATTGGGCGATAATATTCGGGTGTGGGATTGGTGACGAACATGAGCAATGTTAGTATTTAAGTATAAAATTATATTGCCTTTGAAAGCAATAAATTTGAGCTTTTATAACTGAAGGGAAGAGTGGGACACTGTTGGATGTGTGACATATGGCATCATCTTAATAGCTGCAAGATCAAACCTCATAGGTGTCATATTCAACCTTCTTAGGTTGAAGGGGAAATTAAGTAAATTGTAAAGTGACCATTCTATGTCCTAGGTTTGTCAACTGAAAAGTAGACTGAAAGGTTGACTAAAATGTGTCTTCTATGAAGTTGTCAAATCAATCAAACATTCGAAAGATCTCATAGGGGAGATCTTTGGGCCAGAGTGATGTTATGGAATATGTCTCGGGAAACTAAGGCTCACTGCTTCATAATTTTGCTACGGCAACTCGTGACACCTCACTTTGGACATGAAGGTTCAACCTCTAATATGGTGCTTCGCCTGATGTGCTTAGTCACTTTAGCAGCTTCCCTTGATTGCTTTCAATTAGACTACAAAATGACGTGGATTGCAACCTTGAATGGTTTCTTGCTATTTCTTAGCAAGATTTCATGTGATCTAATTATATAAGGTGTAAACTTTGGCAAGAGCATGAGATGAATAACAGATGTTTTGAGAGGGCTTATGAACTGCCTCTAAAATTTAGCTTGACGGAGGTGATGTAGTGATTGATGTCCAATATCTGGTAGATGTAGTTGGAGAAGTAACAATGTTGTATCTTGTAGTTTACTGTGATTGAAGAATTGGGGGGGGGGGGTACTCTTTCTGAGATAACATTAGAGTGAAGTGAATAGTTGCCTTGTTGATAAAGCCTAACAGTAACAACAAAGAACATAGAGCATAAATCATGGTTTAAAAACAAAACAAAACAAAAATTCCTACTTTGAATAAAGAAATCTAATTCATTAACTTAATCAATATTCATAAATGAACTTTGTTAATTTTTTTTAGGTGAACTTTGTTAATTTTATGATTAAATTTTGTAATATTTTATAGCATTAAACTTGTATTAGTACGGATACATTTTAAACATTATGTTCAGAAAGTTTTATTTTAAACATTGTATTGAGAACAAATATACAATATTGACTACATGATCAAACGGTTTGGACTAATAGGAAGTAAAACGAGACCATATGACATAGTTGAAATTTATTAATCTTTTCCACGTGAACTTTGATAATAGTTTATGATTAAAGTTTGAATTATT